CCAATTCACTTCTACTTGAATTCAGGAAGATACTACAACTCAAAAAACTTAAAGGACATAGTTAAAGCCCGTTTTAATTTTGTTCCAAAGTTAGTGGGAACACGCACTGATCTCGCCATGAAAAACGCGTTAAATATATTTACCAAAGAAAAAGGAGACAGGCCTGACGCTAAGAATGTCTTGTTCGTCTTTACTGATGGAGCACCATTCATTGGCGAATGGGATAAGAGAAAACGGACTCCTTTTGGACCATCAACAAATGCTCTGGAGGTAATATAGCTAGACTGTTATTACTTACATGCAGCAAGTATGTTTAAAATTACCTTTTTAATTGTATCAGTCTGTAGTTTTACAGAATTTAATACCTTCCCCCACACCCAAGAACACTAAAGTAAAATGTCATGGAGGCGACTGTGAAAACAAAACTAATTCATGCACTGGTGAGCGAAGAGAAATGCCGAAGAAAAACCCCTACATTATTCTGATTGATGTTTTGAACTTTCACCTGACCAGGCCAGAGGTGTGAGCATAGTTGTTATTGGAGTTGGTAAGGACTTATACAAAAGAAAAGAACAAATGAAATGGATAGCTGGCAAAAAGGGAAAAGTTCTTCTGTATGGCAGCTTCGACGCACTCATCAGAAGTCTGAACCAGATCCTGCAAGCTACGTGCCGTAAGTTTATCAGTGGTTTCCTTTAAATGCGTCTCTTTGCTGATTCCTTTCCTGACCCTTATGTCGAAAAATGACCAATCTCATTCAATAAAAATTGATCTTTCTTTTCCACTAAACAGCGGTTGACGGGGGATACACAGATTGGTCTGAGTCGAAGTGCAGTGTGACGTGCGGAGGAGGAGTGAAGATACTTACAAGAACCTGCACAAATCCCCCGCCATCTAACGGTGGAAAGGACTGCAGGTTGCTTGGGCTAGCAAAAAAGACAGTTCCATGTAACGAACAGAAATGTCGTAAGTATTCATTTAGTAACTTTCTGCCTTAACTTATCTTTTTGATGGAATTGATGATCATAAGCTTGCAACTAGATATGATTTCGATGGTCAAGACGAAGTTTAGGTGCAATTATAGTAATATTTCTTGTAGGTAAAAAAAGAAAAGGAATACTTTAAAACAGCTAAGGCTTTTCTAAGCTATCGCTTACATTACGACAAATGGTTTTCTCTAAAATGGATCACAGAAAAACAGATTTAAATTTTGGATCATTGTTCTCTATTAAAGCTGTTGACGGGGGATACACAGATTGGTCTGAGTCGAAGTGCAGTGTGACGTGTGGCGGAGGAGTGAAGACGCTTACAAGAACCTGCACAAATCCCCCGCCATCTAACGGTGGAAAGGACTGCAGTTTGCTTGGGCCAGCAAAAAAGACAGTTCCATGTAACGAACAAAAGTGCCGTAAGTTTTTTTTTAAACCATTTTCTTGAGACAAATTAGTCATTGCAACGCCTGGAGGTGTGATTTTAAGACCAGCTTAGTTAGAACATAGGGAAACATCTATTGTATGTGGATATTAAAACAATTCTCTGGAAAGGACTGCAGTGAACTTGGACCAGGTGAAAAGACAGTTCCATGTCAGGAACAAAAGTGCCGTAAGTGTTTTTAAACTATTTTCTTGAAAAAAATTAGTCATTGCAACGCCTGGAGGTGTGATTTTAAGACCAGCTTAGGTAGAACATAGGGAAACATCCATTGTATGTGGATATTAAAACAATTCTTTGGAAAGGACTGTAGTGAACTGGGACCAGCTAAAACGACAGCTCTGTGTAACGAACAGAAATGCCGTAAGTATTATGGAAATAGTTTTTGTTGGTCCTAATCTTTTTGAGAGAATTAGTCGATGCAAAGACTATGATTTACGTGTTTAAGAATGACTTTGAATGCATTTGAAATTTTTTTTTTTTACGTAGAGATGAAAACTGCTTTAGAAAATAATTCAAGCATTGGAAAGTTTATTTTAGGATGCATAGTGTACTTTTCTATGGAATTAACTAAATTGCAGACCAGACCGCGACTCCGTCATTTTTCATTCTTTTCACTGAACTGCAATCACTCACATGCTTTCAAGATAAACGTTTGCTGTAAACACTGAGTAACCTGCAGAAAACATTACAGTTTTAGCGGTGGCATATCAAGCGAATTTGGTCGATTAATTAACTCGCATTCTGGCAATACAGTTAAAGTTTCTATTAGATATTTATCGTACGCAAAGTCTACATAAGCAATCCACGAGTCCATGATTGAGTGATTCTTCGAGCGGATGAGGGACTAAAACAAAATCGACTAAAAAGATAAGTAATTCGTGAGCCCATCTTGGTAAAAGTTATCCATCAATAGACCCGTCATGTAAATTGAAATAAAGCTATTCAAACGGATCTGATCGGTATGATTCTAGAATGTTGAAAATGCTTTATGATGCTTTAATTGCAAATTCCCCAATATCTCCCACAGCTCCTCCATGTACAGCAGGACTCGACGTTGGAATTGTTCTCGACAAATCCAAGAGTATAAGGATACCCAATCTCAAACAAGTCATCGAGTTCTTAGGTAACCTCGTTAAAAACTTCAACCCTACACCTGACGCTGATCACTTCGGTTTTATCACGTTTAGCGGAAAGGCCCGAATGGTGTTTAAATTTGCTGACCCACAATTTCACGAGAAGGATGCGCTCTTGAAGAAAGTATCAGAGGAACCAATTCAACTGAAATTTAAGACTCGAACAGATCTGGCTTTGAAAATGGCGGACGACGAGTTGTTTACCGAAGCAGGAGGAGACAGGCCAGACAAACCAAATGTCATGATTGTACTCACAGATGGAAAGCCAAATCATCCAAAAAAAGACTTTGATTTCAAGGCATTTGCTAAAGATATATCGGAAGATTTCAAGGCGAGTGTAAAGTAGCTATGTCGAGGCTTGATTAATAAGAACGGAAGGGTAAAACAATGGGAATTTAAACTTATTGAGTTTAATTTTTCAATCCATTTGAACTGAAAGTTAAGACATCGATGATAAAAGAAGTTCGAGAAGTATGACAAAGCATTGAAATCACAACTGAAAAAGAGCAACATTGATTTATTTCGCGAAAAACCTGTAATAAATAAGGAAGCATTGTTCTCTTATTTTGTCATATGTTAACAGGTAGTTTCATATAAGAACGGTACAATATGTCAATCTGCGCAATATCTACCACCACCAGCTATATTGATTTGAATTCCATCGAGAACTTTAACTGAATTGGAGCGTTAGAATGTGAACACTATTTTCAGAAGGTTTCGCCAGAGTCAATGAAGATAAATTTTTAAGCTTAGGATGCGGTTATTCATAGTGGTGAATTCACTTCTGTGTAAAGTATAGTCATTCATCTCACGACGTAGTCACTTCCAGTAGGGATTGCAGCGTTTCGACTGTAACTGACTGTGAGTTCTCTTCAAGTGGTACTGAAGAATCCTGTTAATAACGCCTTCTTGTTTAGCCCCCACCGAGTTCAAATCTACGACAGATTTGCCAGATGTCAAAGGTCTTTCCGAACAACTTCCCCTCTGCCTACAGCCACCAGGAATACGGGCCCTTTTCAAGTCGGAGACTACGTTACGATCATGCATAAAACGGCTGTTGGGTGTGGTTGACTCATCTAAACAAGATAACGTGGTTTATAGGATTCTCTGTGAGTCTGGCAAAGCTTAAATCGGCAAGAATTTTATGGGAGAGGATCAACAAGTATAGCAGGGGTATCGGACTCCCTTGGACACAAACCTCCCCCGTTACAGAGAACGCCCACATCGGACTCTGCCCGTTCTGGGACAAAGTAAAGCATATTGATCGTTATCTTCATTATTACACAACCGTGGTTAAAAGAGACTTTTCATAAAAGAGTTCACCCTAACAACACCAATAGCGACAGTGTAGTCCAAATCCCACAAGCATGGCTGGCGACGATTAAAGAACACAACTACAGGAAAGCTTTGCGATATCAGATCACTGCGAGACCAGTTCTTCAAGACGCCCAACACGGTTGAATAATGCTAGTCAATCAAAGCTGAGCAGAACGGTTCATATGGCGAGGCGTGCCCAGTCGACATTATCGCTTGAAGAAAACTAGCATGAAATCGAAACGTCGCGATCTACAGCAGAAGAGATTTCATTGTGAGACAAATGATTATACTTCATATACAAACTTGCAATACTTTGCTGAGTACACACAATTGAAGTGCTCCCCTTTTCCTTCGCTCTTTTGCATTACTAATTAAGACATAGAGAAATCAAATACCGAAGGTAACATTGGTTGCTTTAGTTTTGACAAGCGAGTCATGTCAGGCTTTGAATAATGATTTAAGTCCCTACAACACGGTGGTTTTGCTTCAGGAAATTAACTTAAATACGCTGAAAAAAATTTGACTGCAAACGCGGGGACAGCTCAAACAACCCACACATACATCACACCAAAGAATAAAACACCAATTTCTCGGAGGCACAAAGCGCGGTATTGTTACAACTAGAGTTGTAACAATAACTAATAATAAACTTCGTATTTTGGTCTTCGTTTTAGGCAAAAGACGTCAGCGTTGTTGCTGTCGGGATTGGTTCAGATATAAGGGAGGGAACCTTGCAGGAAATTGCAGGTGAAGGTAACCCAGTGGTGCAAGAAGACGACTTCAGTATGCTGGTCGAAATGTTGAACAAAATCAAAGGATCGGCCTGTTCCGGTGAGTATTTAGACGCCTAAATTGAATCATCTGTCGACAAAATCCCACGACAAACTGATGCCCATTTTAATCACGTTGAGGAGTTCAAGGCGACATAATTTTGTTTCACTGTCATTACTCCTCTAAAACTTTTTGGGCTGAAGACCACAAAAGTTAGCATTGGCCGCTAACTTGACTTTAGCAACTTAGCTTTCTTATTATGAATTAACGCAATCGTAGTTAAAGTAGGTTATAGTCGTCTTATTCACTGAGAACCTTACTTTTTCTTTTAAAATTCAGTAAAAACTACCTTTCAACGCTAGTGTGGTGGTTTCGATATTCTGCAGCAAATAAATCTTTGAGAGGTTATAATGATCAAAATTTTTCTTTCAAACTGTTTGGCATGATGTAGTAGAGATTTGTTTTTTTCTTCAAAAATCACAATTAAAAGAGTTAATCCTAAACGATGTGGCCTAAATACGTTAAATATGTTTACAAACGACGGGTTCAATACTGGATAAAATATGTATCATTTTTCCATTTCTGGGAGAGGTTTGTGTCGGTTCGCGTGACCCGATCCAAACCCTTTTCCCTTTTTAAATTCGCTGCTTCTATCGCGGGCTTTTTTCTTTCATTTCAGGGATTACCCGAACCGACCCAGAAATCCCTCCCTTTTTAACTCTGCCGCTTCTTTCGCGGGCTTAGTACTGGATAAACTAAACTTTTTTCTCTCATTTTCCGGGTTACCCAAACTGTTTTTGACTCCGCTGCTTCTATCGTACCGCTTATCATTTCGCTACGTTTTAATTACTTAACGCCTAACACAAGCTATTTTTCATAACATTTGTATCTCGTGAGTATTTTGACGTGATGCAATAAATAGAATATACAGAAATCTTATGCCTGAGTAGAAGCAAACGAAGAGGGCTAAAATATAATTAATATATCATTGTTATCAGCCGGAATCACTGCATGAAACACAATTGCTTGTGTGGCTTCTTTCGGTTCTAACTTAAGTGAATTAAACAGAGCTGTTTTTCCTTACTTTTCAGGCTGAAGATGTTTGATATGCAGAACATGACGCCCATCAAGAGGGGTATAATGTTGCAGGGCTATTGTAGTTTTACTTTCAAGACATTCTTTATCTGCAGATGATATTGATGATACTCAGAGATGGATAAATAAAAGCCATTCCAGTAAAAGTACTTTGTTTGTGATGTTCATCATTTTACTTAAGAGAACTTTATTTATAATTCCTTTTTGTAAAAACTGGAGCATAGTTTTTTGTCATTTCATGTCTTCCAACTAGCTGAACGAAGCCATGTTTTAAGCTTGTAACCATGCTCCCAGTTCATAACCTAGCTCCGACAAATATGGGTAATGAATTCGTCAGCAAATTGAAAATAAAACCTCTGTGAGCAAACAGTAAAACCAAAAGCAGAATAAAAAGAGTTTGCCTCAGAGCTTACAAGTAAAGAAAGTATAGAAAACTTTAGACTACCAGATCCACTGAAAAAGATACTGAATTGAGTATATGTAGCAGAAAATTAAACAACTTTTATTTACTAAATTTGTAACATGATTCTTTTACGGTTGCGATAACAAAAGTCAATTGTTTCAGAATGGCGTAATACAGCCAACGCCATCTACTGCATACCCTGTGTAAGGTGTTGCAAATAGTTATACATCGGCGAAACAGGAAGATGACGAGAACACATTCGTGGCGTAGAAAGGAATTCAAACCAAACGGTAGACACTTTAATCTCCCAAATCATTATCAGCAACATATAGCAATCTGCAGCCTTTGCCTACTGTTAGAATATAGGGTAGGCTGCAAAACTCTTGAACAAAATTTCAAGTGTCTTTCAAATCGGCTCCCTTTATTCCCTTTTTATTCAACTCATTTATTCTTAAGTTTTTCGCGTTGCCATTTTCCCACCAATAACGTAACTCCATTTTTTTATCCACTCACACACAAACCATGCAGAAACTCTTTACAGTGGTCAATTTACATTATTTATTAATAAAACAAAAGTATCAATGTAAAATATCTAAAAGAGAACCTGATCAAGGTTCACTCACCTGCAAAGTTTCGTGGAAATCCTCCAAATTGGTAATCACTTCCAATACTTCCATCTGTTTTAATATGGAAGTATGCCTTCAATCACAAATGTGAGAGCCCTTAAGGTGGAGTAAATAATATTGAAGGGCAAACGAAAATAACTGATAGCTGTCTCCCTAAGGGGTTTTTGTTACAGTTACTTGTAGCCTACTGCGTATGGCATTCGTGATGACTTTCAACATCTACGGAGGTGGTGCATCAGGCCCCTAGTTGTTTAAATGATGGATAGCGTTATCAACCCTACGAACAACCGGAGCCAAATGTTTTAGACTAACAATCCACAACTAAATTTCGTTCATTTGTGCTAAGCTCCCTTTATAAAATGTATCTCCATTAACCCAGCATTGGTCTGTATAGGCTGTATAGACTAAAATAACAGGTAATCATTCGGAAAAAAACGAGACGACTACTGCTTGATGCTTAAAGCCGAGCTGCAAGAATAGACCAT